TTTCTATTTTGGTGATACACACACACAGGCATATATATGCACACACCCATACTTCCATCCTGAATACATTCTTTTCTTTTTCTGCTAAAAGACCTTTATTCACAAAAGGGAAACATGGATTCTTTATGTAAGAGAAATACTGTGATTACATCATCCTTTGTAAGGGAATTCTCTAGGCACTAAAATAACTTTGAGAGTGGCATGAATTAACTGACAAGTAAGTCATGTCCCCTGATTCACCCAACCCACCAAAGGCCAGTCAGTCTCATTGGTGGGGCTGCACCTTACCTCCAAGAGAGTAACACTAGACCCTCTCCCAATTCCAAGATTCAGGATTTTAGAGCTGGCAGCAGTTATGACTTGGAGATGAAGTCACTGTTTATACACCAGAAGAAACTTCATAACTGAAAACTAGGATTGAGATTTTTGACTACATTCTTTGCATCCTTTTTATCCCCAACAAATGAACAGAATGTGAATGTATGAACATGAACATCTATCTGCATTAAAGAAATCACATTCTATCAGTGAGTATATTTCATGTATGGGGAATTTATGGATTTCTAATACATTGCTCAATTCCATTTGTAATTTGTAGTTTATGAAATTCCAATTAATTTTAAATTTGGAATAGATTTATTTCATAACATACTTTGCAAAGTATGAACTTTGAAGAGGTTTATCATGTATGAATGTGTGAGGGTGTCTGGAGTGGGTCTTTATTCAACATAAATGTAATGCACTCCTATTGCAGGAATCTGGGCAGACCACGCACAGGAAAAAAACGAATGTGTTATGTCTAAACCATCTTTTTAGCCAAAATAACTCAGAAATCAGATAGCATGATTTACAAGATAACCTGAGTAAACTTGCAATGCTTAGCAACTTAATATGCTATTGTTTAAAGCTTTTGTTTTCTTATTTTTTACTGAATTTTATTATTTTTTTATTTATCTTGTTATTTATTGAAGCTATAACATTATATTAGCTTCAGGTGTACAACATAATGATTCAGTATTTGTATATTTTGCAAAGTGATCATCACAATAAGTCTAGGTAATATCCAACACCATAAGTTTTTTTTTGTGATGAGCACTTTTAAGATTTACTCTGTCATCAACTTTCAAATATGCAATGCAGTATTAACTACAGTCGCCATACTGTACATTACATCTCCATGACTTATTTACTTTATAACTGCAAGTTTGTACCTTTGACCCCCTTCACCCATTTTGCACACCCTTTGCTCCCACCTCTGGCAACTACCATCTGTTCTGTGTAAAAGTTTTGCTCTTCTTCAATGATTGTCGCAGTGGCAGTACACAGTGACCAGGTTCCCTCCAATCTTTATTGTGTTTACATCACTAGGAACTCCCCAAAGCCTCAACCCTTCCTAAAGGAAGTCTTTTGGTTTTCCCGGTAGGAAAGGGAGAGTGGGGTGAATCCGGCAGACCACATATGACTTTGATCTGCTGGTCCTCAATGACCCATCATCTCTTTAGAATATTCTAATCTGTTTTGTGCAATGGTCGGGTTTTTTTAAACGTACTTACACTTGTTCAGTATTTATACTCAATCAGTAAGTAGAGCAGCATCAATAGTATTCAGTAAAAATAAAGTAGCTCGGGGACATACCCAAGCAAAATAAGTGTGTCTTCAAAGAAATATTATCGTTTGAAAGGAACAATTGTTTAAAGATTGTCATTTCCTGTTTTCAATATAAATATAACTTTTCCCCATGGAAGGGATGTCAGGAACAAGAGAGGCAAGAATCCCGAAGCTCTTTCCCAGCTGTTCATTTGTTTCTAATCTCCTATCAAAAGATTGAAACTAGGCATGCTAAAATGTNTCTACAGCAGGCATCAGCAGGTATTTTCTGTAATAATAAAACAATTTAGGACATGAGGGCTATCTTGTCTGTGTTCCAGCTGCTCAACAAGACAGCAAAAGAATGAGTGTGTCTGTACCCTAGGAAAATGGTATTTACAAAATCAAGCTGCAGGCCGATGGCCTGTGGGCTGTGGTATGCTGATCCCTACAGCTAAGCCCCAGAGAACTGGAAGCAGTGGCATTTCAAGCCACGTTCTAAACAACCCATGGGGCTCAGCAGGACGGCTTGGGTGGTGCAAGGCCTGTCCCATTTGCCACTTATCTGAACACAGAAGCTTCTCATTTCCCTTCCTGACACACTGGAATGCTCCAAAATCACACCTGAAGAGATTACATACTTTTTAATAGATTACAAATGACTGGTATACGATAAAAGTAAAGCACACCACAGTTTACCTAAAAATGTTTTGGGATAAGAGTTTTAAAAAAATAAATAAGAACTTTAAGTTTGTAGCAACTAATTTTTTTCTAACTTCTCCTAAGTTTATTTTCTACACTGTAGACCGAGTCACGTGACATGAAATCCCAACATCCAAACACAGTTGGTATAGACACAATTCCTCTGTTCCTGAAGCCTGACCCCTCAAACCCATCACCTTCCCTGTGTCATGGGGGACTTCGGGAGGATACAGTGCCCTGCGCATGAGTCTTCTGTGGCTCAGAAAGGTTTCTTATATTCCCTTCAGATTTCAATCATCTTTTCCTCATCTGCAGTGTTTTGGGCCAGGAGTGCTGCTATGTATCATGAATTATTAACTCCTGTACCTGATGGATGTAAGTTATAAAACCACCTGCATTTTAATAATCAATCTTGGCTTCCCTGAGCACACGTTGACTTGCTCTGGACAGGCCGAGCGGCGGGTGGGCAGGGGGCAGGCGGCTGGGCACAGCGCACGGTGCCTGAAGCGAGCCTGGGAGTGGTGTTTGCTCTGCTGCACTTTTAAGTGAATATATTTCATGGTGCATTGGACATGCAGTTGGTAAGTATGGCCTAAAGGGATAAGGAAGAATGAACATTTTTTGTAGTGGAGAGAAAGAACATGTTTTTAATATTAAGCCAAAAAACCCATAAAAATGTTCAATTAGTGACTCTATTGGCCATTCAAAGTGCCAAGAGCTATTTTCATACCCACTTACAGTGTCCAATTAATCTCAATTTCTGCTTTACTAACTTAAATTAATATCCCAGATGTTATAGATTGGTATACATTTCTGAAAATTCTTTTGAACTGTGATTGGGAAAATATTTCTATTTTGGTGATACACACACACAGGCATATATATGCACACACCCATACTTCCATCCTGAATACATTCTTTTCTTTTTCTGCTAAAAGACCTTTATTCACAAAAGGGAAACATGGATTCTTTATGTAAGAGAAATACTGTGATTACATCATCCTTTGTAAGGGAATTCTCTAGGCACTAAAATAACTTTGAGAGTGGCATGAATTAACTGACAAGTAAGTCATGTCCCCTGATTCACCCAACCCACCAAAGGCCAGTCAGTCTCATTGGTGGGGCTGCACCTTACCTCCAAGAGAGTAACACTAGACCCTCTCCCAATTCCAAGATTCAGGATTTTAGAGCTGGCAGCAGTTATGACTTGGAGATGAAGTCACTGTTTATACACCAGAAGAAACTTCATAACTGAAAACTAGGATTGAGATTTTTGACTACATTCTTTGCATCCTTTTTATCCCCAACAAATGAACAGAATGTGAATGTATGAACATGAACATGTATCTGCATTAAAGAAATCACATTCTATCAGTGAGTATATTTCATGTATGGGGAATTTATGGATTTCTAATACATTGCTCAATTCCATTTGTAATTTGTAGTTTATGAAATTCCAATTAATTTTAAATTTGGAATAGATTTATTTCATAACATACTTTGCAAAGTATGAACTTTGAAGAGGTTTATCATGTATGAATGTGTGAGGGTGTCTGGAGTGGGTCTTTATTCAACATAAATGTAATGCACTCCTATTGCAGGAATCTGGGCAGACCACGCACAGGAAAAAAACGAATGTGTTATGTCTAAACCATCTTTTTAGCCAAAATAACTCAGAAATCAGATAGCATGATTTACAAGATAACCTGAGTAAACTTGCAATGCTTAGCAACTTAATATGCTATTGTTTAAAGCTTTTGTTTTCTTATTTTTTACTGAATTTTATTATTTTTTTGTTTATCTTGTTATTTATTGAAGCTATAACATTATATTAGCTTCAGGTGTACAACATAATGATTCAGTATTTGTATATTTTGCAAAGTGATCATCACAATAAGTCTAGGTAATATCCAACACCATAAGTTTTTTTTTGTGATGAGCACTTTTAAGATTTACTCTGTCATCAACTTTCAAATATGCAATGCAGTATTAACTACAGTCGCCATACTGTACATTACATCTCCATGACTTATTTACTTTATAACTGCAAGTTTGTACCTTTGACCCCCTTCACCCATTTTGCACACCCTTTGCTCCCACCTCTGGCAACTACCATCTGTTCTGTGTAAAAGTTTTGCTCTTCTTCAATGATTGTCGCAGTGGCAGTACACAGTGACCAGGTTCCCTCCAATCTTTATTGTGTTTACATCACTAGGAACTCCCCAAAGCCTCAACCCTTCCTAAAGGAAGTCTTTTGGTTTTCCCGGTAGGAAAGGGAGAGTGGGGTGAATCCGGCAGACCACATATGACTTTGATCTGCTGGTCCTCAATGACCCATCATCTCTTTAGAATATTCTAATCTGTTTTGTGCAATGGTCGGGTTTTTTTAAACGTACTTACACTTGTTCAGTATTTATACTCAATCAGTAAGTAGAGCAGCATCAATAGTATTCAGTAAAAATAAAGTAGCTCGGGGACATACCCAAGCAAAATAAGTGTGTCTTCAAAGAAATATTATCGTTTGAAAGGAACAATTGTTTAAAGATTGTCATTTCCTGTTTTCAATATAAATATAACTTTTCCCCATGGAAGGGATGTCAGGAACAAGAGAGGCAAGAATTCCGAAGCTCTTTCCCAGCTGTTCATTTGTTTCTAATCTCCTATCAAAAGATTGAAACTAGGCATGCTAAAATGTCATGGGATGGCCTTACCTGTCTGTGAGGCCGCAGGTATCTATCTGGAGGTCACGGAAACTCCCCAGTGCCCCCTGCTGTACGGCAATGGGATCCACAGCTTTGTCCCCAATGGAGATGAGCCTTAGGCAGCCCTGGAATCCTCCCAGGGGATGCCCACATCCAGAGCGGAGGCTATTGTCAGGACAGCCTGAACACAGACACAAGCATAGGGGAAAAGCCAGCAACTGTTACACAGTACTTCTTACATGCACGCCTACAGCCTACCCATTTGAAGACACCTGAGGATTAGACACCGTTTGGGAAGGTCATGCTTTGCACTAGTGGGGTGGAGGACTGAGGATACCAGAGCTGCTGGTTTTCGTTAAAGAACAAAAATAACTAGAGCCAGGCTTATGGAGAGATGAGAGGAAGAAAGATGGAAAATCCTACTAAGAGCGTTGTGGCACATGTAATTAAAGCAAGGCTTGATTTCTCTTTTCAAAATGTACATAAGAAATCACTTTTCTTAGCATGATTTTAAACTAGATGAACTAAAGGACATGTGAAAGTAGAATCAGGGAAAAAATTACAGGCATAATAGGACTTGGTAAATTTAAAATGCTTGAAAAATACTTTTAAATTGAAAATTGACCCAGATACTTGCTCTCCATGCATCTAAAAATAATGTTAAATAGCTACTGTGTGTGTGTGTGTGTGTGTGTGTGTGTGTGTGTGTGTGTGTGTGTGTACATACAGGCATACTGTAAAACAATTTTTGATAACTGGTTGAAGAAATCTAAGAACAATTTACATTTACTTTTCTACTTTTTTAAACTAGGCACCTTTGTGAATACATTTCAACATTAACACAAACACACAATGAACAAGTATCTCAATGATACAGCATTGCAAATCATGGAGAAAAAACAGCATCATAGAATATTACATGAAAAAATAAACAGGTTTTGGTTATTTTCAGTTATGAGTTAAATTTTACAAGTTCTGCAGCAGCCATGAATTGGTTGGCTACAAATTACTACTAAATTAATTAAACAAGACCATTAGACCAAAGTAGCTGTAATGCTGTGGCAGCCTTTGAAAGCAAACCAGACTCAGGCCTGTAAATGCCTCAAGGTTACAAAACTGAAACCTCAGGTCAGCCAATCACAAGCAGCCAATAAGCTTTAAGCTACAATCGGTCATTTCCTTTCTTTGCTTCCCCCCCTTCTCTATAGAACTCTTTCCCCAGTTCCTGTTGGTGGAGCACCAGAACCACTTACTGCTTGGTTCTGCCCAATTCAAATGGATTGTTGCTCAAATAAACTTTTACCACTTTTAATATGCCCCAGTTTATCTTTTAAAATTACAAATCACAATTCCTACATAGTGGTTTTATTTTATCCCACTGGGTTTCCCAAGAAAACAATGCTATCATAACAATTATGAGCAAAGACATGGCTTTGAAATGAAAAAGCAAGATTGGATCGAGTGCCACCTCCTTCCCCACTAGGGGGCCCACCAGTGTATTAAGTGTGCCCCCACTCTCTACTGAGTTGCAGTCTAAATGAATCACAGATTCTTGGATGTGAGTGCTGCAAAATTCACAATGAAAAAGAGGAAAGTGAAGATCAAGGAAGGACTATGCTGTCATTGTGAATGCTTCTGTAAAGGCAATGATTCGAGGGAATCTGTTGTATAGCACCCAATCCCCATGGCCCCCGCCTTTTCAGGACCGAGGGTGCAGACCCCCTGAAGAACTGCCCTGGCTGAGGGGAGCTGACCCTCGAGGATAAGGCTGTGCCCAGGGAGGCAGCAGGGTGATGCTTCGCTGAAGGGCATCCCTGTGCTTCAGAGGCTCCAGTGCAATCTCCAAGGCTCCTCAACTTGTCCTTCTGCTCGCTCCAGCTGCTCTCCAGCATCAGGGGTTGTGCCTAAGAATCAACTCACTAAACCACTGCACGCTAATCTGCACAGAGGCGACTACTTGGGGGCAGGACACAATCACCAGACATGATGTAATTGAATGTGGTATTTTCATACGAAAACACAAAAGCAGCACATTTTAAATGAATATTGTTTTAATTCCAAAAAATTGTTAAGTAAATTTTATGCTTCATGTGAAATGTAACTGTTTTACTCACTCATTCTTTGCCCTATAAAATTGTTTCATTCCTATTGTTTTAATTCCAAAAAATTGTTAAGTAAATTTTATGCTTCATGTGAAATGTAACTGTTCTACTCACTCATTCTTTGCCCTATAAAATTATGTTTCATTCCTATTGTTTTAATTCCAAAAAACTGTTAAGTAAATTTTATGCTTCATGTGAAATGTAACTGTTTTACTCACTCATTCTCTGCCCTATAAAATTATGTTTCATTCCTATCATTTCCACAAGAACTGCTTTTTTTCAACTTGTTACATACGATGTCTTAATTATTCATCTCTTTGCTTTGGATTTTCCAATCACTTAAATATTTACAGTCTGGGATTTCAGGTTATTTTATGAGGGTCTTATTTTTTAAATCAAATGGAATAAATAATTTTATAAAGCAAAGACTTTACTTATTATACATATGGTTTTTCATTCATCTCTCTTTGAACTTCTGTGGTAAAATCACTGGACTACTTTTCAAAGACCAGGAACAGAAGATGAAGTTACATCTTTTTCCTGGGTAAGGGATGCTAGCTCTCTACCTACAAATTTTCATAAAATGCACACAGTTTATCTTTTCTTTCGGTGACTGAAGCCTTAATGTTTTCTATTCATGATAAATAAAATCCACAACAAGGCAAGGCCTACATCAGCTTAAAAAACCATTGCTAGGCACAATAAAGCCTCATAAATTAACCTGAAAGAGACTCTGATACTTCAAATTTAATGTTACATCACAAAGAACTGCTTAGCTCTACAGCATTCCTTTCCCATTTTCTTGTTGTATGTGAAAATGTACACATTTCAATTTGTCAAAGAATTTCTGAAGGGCTGGATACATTTGGAAGAAACTCTGTATACCTTTTTCTATCTGTGGGTGATTTCTACTCACAGCACCTGGCAACCAAGAACATTAGGATGAAGAGGATGGGGAGGAATGTTAAGTCAATGAAGTTTTGTGGAATCACCATTACTCTTTTTCTGCTTCCCTTTCTAAAGATTAAAAGCCTCAAACTCATCCAAAATACAAGGCAGTACTTCTCTAACTATTTCTGTTAGGAACAAAATTAAACCAATCCAGCAGTCACAAGGAAACCTTTCTGAAGCTGGAACTTTAAGAAGGAAAGTTCAAACGGCAAAGTGCTTTATTTCGCCAACTATGAGAGACGTCAAGAAGCAAAGGGTGCCACGTCCCAAGACAACTCAGGACAGGAGCCATTCATTCGGCCATGCACAAGACTATCCAAAACCTGGATGGCAGGCAGAGGCCATCCCCTGAGGACCTGACTCGAGAAGGAGTGCCAGGGGACAGGGAATACTTTGCTGACTCTGTGAAACACAGCCATCTAAAGGAACTGAGGGTTCAACCACCTCTGGGGATGACAGAATTCATCACTTTATGTCCCTTCCAAAATGGTCATCAGGTGAAACCTCACTACAGAGCTATCATAGGTTCTCTGGCCTCCTACCATTTCACACAAGGACACTTGAAGGTTCTGAGCATAATTTAATATATTCCCCAACTCTGCAGTACATGTATGCTATTGGAGAGCACAAAGATTCCCTAAAACTTAATTTAAAGGAGAACAGCCTTCCAAAAACTGAAGGAACAAAACAGCAGCAGACTCACAGAACCCAAGAATGGACTAACAGTTGCCAAAGGGAAAGGGATTGGGGAGGGTGGATGGGAAGGGAGGGATAAGGGGAGTCAGAGGCATTATGATTAGCACACATAGTGTGGGGCTTGGGGGGCACGGGGAAGGCAGTATAGCCCAGAGAAGACAAGAAGTATCTATAGCATCTTACTATGCTGATGGACAGTGACTATAATGGGGTACGTGGTGGGAATTTGATCATGCAGGGAATCTAGTAATCACAATGTAGTTCATGTGATTCTATATTAACGATACCAAAAAAAAAAAGAGAACAGCTTTCTATGGCTGTCAAGAGCCAGCCCCAAAGATCTGTGTGCAGTGCTCTGCAGTGAAACTGCCATTGGAAGAACAATTTACAAAAAGCTCAGATGGAGAAAAGTCAGAAAAGGGGGAAGGGATACTGTCTTACCAATGGGTTACATCCCCAAGCAAGTTCACTATGGATTCAATGTGACCAATGAAAATGACAGTAGAACTTTCTTGGGGTGAAAGGGTTTATTAAGCGGCTCATTCTCCTGGCAGTAGGTCGAGCACTAGTGTCTCTGTCTCCGGCCAGAGCACTGGGCCAAGCTCTCTATATAGCGCAATAATAGCTTATTGCCTAAAGATGTGGAAGCAGTAGCCTAGCAACAGGCAAGTTACATCATCAAGTGGTTTAAGTTCAGAGAGGATCCTGGCCATAGGAATCCCAAATTCCCCACACTCTACCCCTCCAGGATTTTCGTCTTACAATCTACACTCTCTCAATCTTCTGCAACAGTCCCAGTGCAAGAAAGCTGGAGCACTGTAACCAGATTCCACAACAGCAGCAGATAATAACAACAGCTTAGAGATAATAACACAAATTATGACAAAATAGGATTTTAAACAAAAATTATAATAATCCTCAAGCCAGAGGAGGTTCCCAATCCACAAAGACCTTAGGGGCGATAGCACATGATTTAATGCCACCAACATAGGCAGATATTGTCCTTCAGGTAGGATGCATGCAAGAGAGTGGTCCTGTGATAGGACTGAAGCAGGAAGGGGGTCCCTTCCAGGTCTAGTATACCATACTTTTACTCCTCTCTCCATGGGGGTTACTAAGGGGTCTATATATAGTGCTACTGGAGGTGCATGCACTGGCCATAATGATAAAACAGAACTCCCTGGGAAGATGCTCCTACCTTCTGGCTGTTCAGGATATACTGCTGTGATCTTTGGGGTCACTGCTGTTATTCCAGGAATACACAGAAGGCCAGCTTCCAGGCCTTGTCTCCAAGGTGCCAGGAGAGCCAGCCATTGTTGGTCTATGTGTCGAAAGGTCCAAGGCCATGTCCACTGAATGGGGTCTCCAGAGTTTAGTGCAGTCAGTGCTGGCAGCAAGGTATTATTTTGATGGCCGAACCTCAGCTAAAACG